TCAAGTCACACCCCGGCCCCCCATAATGGCAATAAATAATCTCAAATCTCACACTCCCCCAGCCCCACAGCAGGAGCAGGTGCCCGTGGCCTGGCCCCACAGCCTGGCCCCCCAAGATGGGGAGCATCTCCATATCCCCCTGACCCCCCAGGATGGGGGGGAGCTCCGTATCCCCCTGCACAGGGGAAGGGGCTGGCAGCACCCACCTGGCCCCCCACACCCCCCGGATCCGGCCCTCAGAAGCGCAGTTCCCTCAGCTTCTGCCGCAGGTAGTGCTTGGCCTCCTCGATGCCACTCACCTTCTCCAGCTCTGTGTAAGGCAGCTGTGAGGGGACGGGGACAGCGTCAGAGCAGTGACAGCGTGTCTGCCCCACCTGTATTCCCAGCACCTCCAGCCCCCAGCCCCATTCAGCCTGTGCTGCTGGGACAAAGGACCAGGACACAGATCCCTCCTTGGAGAAGGAGGGCAGCGCGGTTCCTGCCGAGGGGATGGACAGAAGTGTGGACAATGGCATGGCAAGTGTAGGCAATGTCCAGCTCCAGGCTCATCCAGCCTGAGCTCAGCCCTGGATTTGGTGGTGCAGGCACATGAAGCCTCACCCCACCCTTGAGCCCGTCAGCACCCTCCATGGAAGATGACAAGGTATGGGGTGCTGAAAACTCTGCGGGTCCAACAGCCCTGAGGGGACCAGCAGCACTCACAGAGTAGGGACTGAGGGTCATTGGGACCCATTCTACACCCACTGGCAGCACCGGGGAGGAATAAAGCCACTCAACCCACAGGTGAGAGCTGGGGGTGTGCACCTGGAAAGAGAAGGCTCTGGGGAGACATTTTAGAGCCCCTTCCAGTGCCTAAAGGGGCTCCAAGAGTTGGAGAGGGACTTAGGTTAAAAGCCTGGAGTAACAAACCAACAGGGAATAGCTCCCCACTGCTGGAGTGCAGGGATAGCTGGAATACTGGGAAGGAATTCCTGGTTCTGAGGGTGGGCAGGCTCTGCCACAGGTGCCCAGAGCAGCTGTGGCTGCTCCTGGATCCCTGGCAGTGCCCAAGGCCAGGCTGGAATCGGGGCTTGGAGCAGCCTGTGGTAGTGGAGGTGCTCCTGCCCATGGCAGGGCTGGCACTGGATGGGCTTTAAGGTCCCTTCAGCTGGGTCCCTGCTGTGCCTTCTGCAGGAGGGACACAGCCCTGGCCAACCCAGCCCAGCCCAAACACCAGCTCAAGGGAGAGCTGGCCCTGCAACTGGCCCAGCTACGCTGCTGGGCAGCTCCCAGGTGATTCCTCAGCAGTCACAGGACCCTGGAGCTCTGCACAAACACGGGGCTCCAGGCTGCTGAGCTCTACAATGAGGAGCTGCGGCTGGCACAGCCTGGCAGCAGCAGGAGGTAAGAGTTTGGGAATGGCTGTGGGATGGTGCACTGGAAGCAGTGTTATAATCCTGGTCCTCTCTGCAGTGCAAGAGTGAACAGGACTGAGGGCACATTTCCAGTGCCATTTTCCTCAGACTCATCCTCAGGCTAAAACCACCCACAACCAATCACGTGGGAGCTGCACATCCTAAACCAACACCTGGAGTTTGCCAAAGGAGCTGCAGACCCGAGGGCTCTTCCAATCCCAGCACTCAGCAGGAACAGCTGGGCCTGAACCAGGGCAGGCAGAATCTGGCACTGAAGGTGAACCAACCTCCCTCCTGACCCCTCGGCACAGTCACCACAGGTGGACCCACGCGTGTTCCCCCCACCTGATTTCACCCTGAGGCCCCGCACCCAATGGTGCTACTGTGGCTGTGTCTGCCAGCCTGGGCTGAACACCCTCTCCTTCCCCTTCCCCTCACTCAGGTCGGGTCTCGGCTCACAGGACAGACCGTCCCTTGTCTCTGCATTTCATCAGGGCTGGTGTCACCCAAAAGCTGCATGGAAAAAGTCCTGCATGGAGTGGGGGAGGGTGAGGAGACACGAGGATGAGTCATCCCTGCTTCCTCTCACAGGGACAGGAGTGTTTACACTGGGGATGCCAGCTCCGGGCCCATCCTTCCAGGGGATGCCAGCTCTCAGCTCTGAGCCCGTCACCCACCGTGTCCCCTGGCCCTGAGGAGGTGGAGGTACCCCCACTTACCTGCACCAGACAGTAGCCTAGCAGCCGCAGGTGCCGGTCCCTCATGGCCCGGGAGCCCACCAGGATGTCGGAGTTCTGACAGTAGTGCCACTTGTCATTGACTGACAGCACCACCCTGTACAGGGGACAGCGGGGAGCGCAGTGTCACCCCACGCCCCAGTACCACCCTGCTCCATGGGCCCCGCTCCCCAGCACCGTGGCAGCTGAAAAGTGGCACCCCAAATGACCCCAGACGCTGCTGGTGTCAGGGACAGCTGTATCCAGCAGCCCAGGGCAGTGGGGACACGGGTCTGTGGGTGCCCTGTGGCACTGGGCACGCTCGCCAAGTGTCTCAGCAAGCAGGAGCAGAAGGCAGCGCCAGGGTGGCTGTCCTGCTGGAAGGGGCCAGGGACACAGGCTGGGATGCGGCCCTGCTCCGTACCTCTGGATCTCCTCGGCAC